TAAAGTATACTTAAAAGTATACTTTTATATACTAGAAAGTGGGCCAATTTAGTCCCAATGAGTATTGAAATAGTACACTTACACTTAAAGTAGGGGAAGTTGTGGCCTAATGGTTAGAGAGTCGGACTTGTAACCCAAAGATTCTCGTTCGAGTCTCGTACCGGCAGGGATTGTAGGTGGGGGGAGTGAATGTAGAGCGCTCTCTCCCACCTTCAATACCCCGACTGAGGTGCCCTTGAGCAAGGCACCGAACCCCCAACTGCTCCCTGGGCGCCGCAGCAAAGAAATGGCTGCCCACTGCTCTGGGTGTGTGTGTGTTCACTGCTGTGTGTGTGCACTTTGGATGGGATAAATGCAGAGCACTAATTCCGAGTATGGGTCACCATACTTGGCCACATGTCACGTCACTTTCACTTTAACTTATGCTAAATATAATTAGTTGTTATCAGAGACCATGATGTAGACAGCATGCTCTTCATTATTCAACCACTTTCGTCTGATCTGAACATGTGAGGAGGCTGGTTGGTTGTTAAAGAGGAGATATTATGGGATATGTTATTAAAATGTTCTTCACACTGAGGAAAAAAAAGGGGGAAAAAGTTATTTTAAGAACTGTTCACAGAAAGTTTCTTTAGGGAGCCAAGAATGGTTCTTCTATGCCACTGCAGTGAAAACCCTCCTTTGGAACCTTTATTTTTAAAAGTAGGCTAAACAATGGAATCCATCTGGGATACATTCAGGCAAAATTTTTAAACAAGTTGAACTGTGGGATGTCTTTTTTTGTTATTAATGTCATCTAAGGCAATGCTTATATCACTTACATCAGTTGTCATATGTTTGTTGTTGTTGTTGTTTAGTTTATTTTACAACTTTACTGAAAAATCAATACAAATGGATATGTTGTGGACGCTGTTTTATTTTTCATATAAGTCTAAATGTAGTAAGTCTATCTATATCTGTATTTACTGGAATAAAAACTGTAACAACTATCATCCATAATTTGTATTAACGTTAAGATTCAAGTTTGTACATTGTCTTGTATGCTGAATCAGTACATTTATTCAAGCAACAGATGTCTGAATCATTGCTGACTGAATAACATGCAAGCGGTTTTCTGGAGAGGTTCCCCAGGGTTCAATGATTAGTCAAAAGAATTTTATAGTGACACATTTAATTGCACATAGCTCAAGCATAAAATATTGCAGCCATAAAAGCTTGATGGTTACAAGCAAATTATGTCATGACGTTGTACCTCGAGCTTAAGGGTAGAAACATGTGACTATCCATATTCAACATAAAGCAGAGATGAATAAACCAGTCCTGATGTCTGTCATTTCCTAATCACTCCACTCACCAACAGCCTGAGGTCATCTATAGAAATTGTGCATATAGGGACATACTTTATAATTCAGTGATGGAATATAGCCCCACAATCAGTACTTTTCACATCAGTTATTTATTTTCCCCCCACTAATTCCACTATGCATTCTGCTTAAAGTCACAACAAAGGAAAACATAAAAGACATTCTTTAGAAATAAATGTGTTGTAATAGTATTAATCAAGGTGGCTTTATACAGCTTATTAACTGTACTCCAACAATATTTCGGCTTTGTGACGATCAGACTGTGTTGACCTTTGACTGAGGGAGTGACTCAGGAAAACTGTTTTCCACCAATTGAAGACATTATAAGTTTAATTTGTTGATGGATAATTATATATGAACAAAACAACAAGGACTATAGCACTATAGTTGCCTGCATAATTTCATATCCTGTGAGAACAAAACACATATTCACACATTTATCTACTGATGAGTAATTTGAATGAAAACAGATTATGTTTTACAGAAACCCAAGACTGGATTTCTAGTACATCCAATGAAAACAGCCCATGTTTTCTTTTGCACGTCACACGCATTCAGTTTATCTTTTTGTTTTAGTTTCTCAATTGTTGCGTGCAATATCAGGTTAATTGTTGTGCAGGCTGTACAATGCTATTTATATTTCAAATGAAATATAAACATGCTATTACAATGTTCAGTGCAGCCATACTCACACCCAAAATCCTGTCTTTATTTAACGTGCAAGTGTTTAGGTACTTCTTTTACATCACCCACTGTTGTTACAAAAATACACACAAGCCTATGCTGTAGGCAGGACTGTGTTCTTGGAACATAATATGATTGGGCAGCAGGGGGTGTGGTTACACAGAATTCTGCTGATTTTTACAAATAAAATATCAAAAAAGAAGAAAGAAAGAAAGAAAGAAAAATAAAATCACACTGTGAAAACATGAATGTGGTTCAGAAATAATAACAGCAGGTTTATTGCTAGAATGCAGAATGATTTTATTTTTCTTGAAAATATATAAAATAGAAAAAAAAAAAAGTGACATGACGTGGCCAAGTATGGTGACCCATACTCGGAATTAGTGCTCTGCATTTATCCCATCCAAAGTGCACACACACAGCAGTGAACACACACACACCCGGAGCAGTGGGCAGCCATTTTTTGCTGCGGCGCCCGGGGAGCAGTTGGGGATTCGGTGCCTTGCTCAAGGGCACCTCAGTTGGGGTATTGAAGGTGGAAGAGAGCGCTGTACATTCACTCCCCCCACCTACAATCCCTGCCGGTCCGAGACTCGAACCCGCAACCTTGGGTTACGAGTCCGACTCTCTAACCATTAGGCCACAACTTCCCCATATTATATAATAAATATAATATAAAAATATAAGAAAATATAACTGAAACATAGAAAACATAAAAATCTAAAGATGTATAAGAATTTATTCACACCACAAATTCAAGCATTATTAAACTAATTTGTTCACCAGTGTCATTAAGTAAATATTAACATACACAGCTTTCAAAAATATTATGTTGGTCCTCAATGCCAATTTTTACACTCATGTTCAGTAACAACAACACACCAAAAGGTAGCATGTGGTATCACAGTGTGAATGCTACACATATACAGTCATACAGTAGTCATTAAGTGCTTTTGAGTCTATATTTTGATTCACTTTTTAGAATCACATTTGTTTATATCCTGTACTTTTTTATATCCAGCTCCTAAAAAAGTACTTAAGCAGTGACAGTAAAGAAATATTAGTAACACTTTACAATAAGGTTCAATTTGTTAACATGGTTAAAGCATTAGGTCTCACAAACTAACAATGAATAATACTTTTACAGCGTGTGTTATTCTAGGTTTATGTTAATTTATAAATCTGCAATTGTTCAATGTTTAATTTATACTTTAAACTTCTTTACAAATAAAACTAATAGTAGATGCAGAAAATATTCATTAGAGTAACTGATATTAATAAATGGTGTACATAGTTCATCGTTAGTTCAAACTGAACCTTATTGTAAAGTGTTACCAAAAATCTTCTTCTGATTAAAATACAACAAGCTAGGAGCCTTAACCTTGATGATCACAGCCAGAAATCGTCAGTGACCAGTTAAAGGGGTAGTTCACCCGAAACGAAAGTTCCGTCATCATTCACCCTCATGTTGTTCCAAACCTGCATGCATTTCTTTATTCTATGGAACACAAAATAAGATATTTGGCAAAATGTCTTGGCATTTTTTTCCTCAATGGGATTCAATGTTGTTTCGAACAATAACTGTCATTGTATGGACAATTTTTAGAAATTTGTTTTTCACAGAAAACACAAACTCAAACAGGTCATACTAGGACATGAGGGTAAGAAAATTATGACACAGTTTAAATTTTTTGTGAACTATCCTCAACTATTAATGTTTGAGCTGTTAATTTTTACAAATCCAGTAAGTCCGGTACCTGGTTAAAGGGATAGTTCATCCAAAAATGAAAATTCTGTCATTAATTACTCACCCTCATGTCGTTTCAAACCCGTAAGACCTTCGTTCATCTTCGGAACACAAATTAAGATATTTTTGATGGAATCTGAGAGCTGTCTGACCCTGCATAGACAGCAACGCAAATGAAATGTTCCCAAGTCCAGAAACGTAGCAAGGAGATCTGTGACGCAGCTGACAACAGAACAGCATACGTTGTTTACGTCCAGCAGATATTCTCCAAAATGGCACCAGGGTGATGCAGAGGAGACGAATTGTTGAATAAAGTTTTTTTTTTCTTTCTTTTGCGCACAAAAAGTATTCTCGTAGGTTCGTATAATTGCGGATGAACCACTGATGTCACATGGATTATTATACAGATCTCCTTGCTATGTTTCTGGACTTGGGAACATTTCAGTTGCGTTGCTGTCTATGCAGGGTCAGACAGCTCTCAGATTCCATCAAAAATATCTTAATTTGTGTTTCGAAGATGAACGAAGGTCTTACGGGTTTGAAACGACATGAGGGTGAGTAATTAATGACAGAATTTTCATTTTTGGGTGAACTAACCCTTTAAGTAACCCATACATGTCCAAACAAATGCCCTAAAAACCAGTTGCAGCAGTAATCGCTGAGAGAGTCTGTGTAGCCACAGAACGCAAGGCAAACGTGGGCACAGAGAGATCCATGAGGACGAAGAGCTGGTGTTGAGAACTCTGCAGGCCATAACACTTACACTCATCAGTGACAAGGTAACACTGCACAGGGACGTGGGTAAAGCCCTGAGAGAAATCCTCCGAGGCTGACGAAACTGATGTCTCCTGAGAGGTAAAATATCTAGTCACTGCAAATGTATAAAAGAGGCGGAGGAGCTCCAAACGCCTGCCCGACGAGAGGAGAGGCGTAGCCTCTGAGGGAGCGCCACTGCGAACACGAGGGCAGACAGTGACGGCACGTCGAGATTCACGGTTGATGAGCAGAAGAGCCTGGATGTCCCAGCGAAGGCTAACAGATGAGGGAAGACTGGAACGTTCAGCATGCTCCAAACAGCTACGCAGGTTCTCCACAAAAGTGGACCAAAAACGACCAATGAGCTCATTCTCTGCCTTGTGCAAAGAAGGTTTGGGGCCACAGAGGACGCACAGGTGAGCCCCAGGAAGTAGTTGGAAACTGAGCAAGCGAATGGCGACGGTAGGACTTCCTTGGGGCAGGAAGACCGGGTAGTCACATGAAGATGCACCAGAAAGTGAGTGCACCAAGACTGAGAGCACAACAACTTCTTGGGACGTCAGTCGAGATCACCACTTCTCCGTGGCCTGTGCCACACGACCGTGCACCAGCAGGCAGCCAAATTCACTCTCTGCTGCTTGGGTGAAAGAGTCTAGGGCTTCCTGAAGCAAGCCGGAGTGGGAGGGAAGCAAACAGTCGGCACACTGTGTCAGATCTCCCATAAATCCCTGATTGTCACTGACACGTTCCAAGAGCATGTCGATCAGGCGGTAGCAAGAGCGCAACTCCCGTTTTAGCCGCTCCACGTTGCGTATGTTTGTCAGCTCGTCCTGTCCCAGGACCAGGACCATGCAGTTCCACACGTTCTCCAGCAGGCGGCGCAACTGCAACTCACTGATGGAAGAGCCCCCATCACCACTCACCGCAATCAGCATCAGGCTCTCCTGAAAGACCCCCCAAACCACACGACTCCCTCGATCCGTCTCACAGCATGCTAACTGAGCCTCGTGGCCAGCACCAAACATATGGACACCATTTAGGGAGCCGATGATGGAAAAGGGAAGCTGCTTGGAGGAGCCTCGTGAGAACAGAGGGACCCCACTGGAGGCTGTGAGGCACAACAGTTGGAGCGTCTCTGCTTGCAGCATAGTGAATGTAGACTGGGCTGGAAAGTTGCTCTAAACACCAGTCAGTGATGGAGACATCTTATAAAGCCTTTAGGTGCACAAAGAAAAAATAAATCAACACATGAGAAATTCAACACTGAACATACTGCAAAAGACACTAAACTAACAAGACACCTGTGTACGGTAAGACGGGTTAAGATGCCCCCCTTAAGAACAATGTGCTTTTACTTTTAAATTGTAACATGTTTAGATATAAATGTAGCATGTGCAGGATGTTGATGCATCAGCCAGTGTGTTATTAAGGGAAACTGATAGAAACATTTGTTATTTTAGTTGTCATGGCACAAAATGTAACATTATTCATTTACATTTAATCATTTAGCAGATGCTTTTTTCTAAAGCATCTTACAAACGAGGACAATAGAAGCAATCAAACCAACAAAAGAGCAACAAAATGTTAGTGCTGTGACAAGTCCCGGATAGTCCACCGCAGTACACATAGCATATTTTTTTAATAATTAATAAAAAGTAGGTAGAATAGAAATAGAATAGAGGGAGCTAGTGTTAAGAGTGTCAGGTTATCATTACTTTTTATAATAAATAAAAAGAAAACAACAAGATAGAATCAAAAGAGAATAAAGAGTGCTAGTGTTAGAGGGTTAAGTTTTTTTTTTAGAATAAATAAAAAGAAAAGTAGATAGAATAGAATAGAATAAAATAGGATCACGCATCTTTCCCGCAGCAGCTCACTCTGTTTCATCCGCTATTTTTAGATGCATTTCATCCATAGAAATGCGTTATTCACTGCTGTAATTTAACGTGACTGGCGGAAGTTTTCCGTGCGCGGTGGGCAAACGCGACGAATCGATAATGACATTCGTTGTCGATTATTTACATGATCGATTATTATCGATTAGTTGTTGCAGCGTTTTTTTTTTAGAATAAATAAAAAGAAAAGTAGATAGAATAGAAATAAAATAGGATCACGCATCTTTCCCGCAGCAGCTCACTCTGTTTCATCCGCTATTTTTAGATGCATTTCATCCATAGAAATGCGTTATTCACTGCTGTAATTTAACGTGACTGGCGGAAGTTTTCCGTGCGCGGTGGGCAAACGCGACGAATCGATAATGACATTCGTTGTCGATTATTTACATGATCGATTATTATCGATTAGTTGTTGCAGCCGTAGAGTATTCTATGACATGCTTAATTGCACCTATTTTAATTGAAGATATGTAATATTTGAGACACTATACTTTCGAACAGAATGGCTGCACTGAATAAGCCTATAGTAACGTATAGGTTTTAATGCATATCAAAGATATGCACATCAGGAATGTATAATTGACCCATGCAATTATTAAATAATAAAGTGAACGAAAATGAAACCCACAAATCCCTCATTAACTAATAT